GGAGGGAGGGAGAAAGGAAGGAAGGAAGGAAGGAAGGAAGGAAGGAAGGAAGGAAGGAAGGAAGGAAGGAAGGAAGGAAGGAAGGAAGGAAGGAAGGAAGGAAGGAAAGAAAGAAAGAAAAGGGGAAGGAAGGGAAGAATGAAAGAAAAAAGGAGAGAAGGACACAGGAAAAGGGGAAGGAAGGAAAAAGGGGAGGGGAGGAAGGGAAAGAGGAAGGAAGAAGAAAAAAAGAGAGAAGTACAGATAAAAGGGGAAGGAGAGAAGGAAAAGGGGGAGGGGAGGAAGGAAGACGGAAAGAAAAAAGGAAAGAAAGGCAGAGGAAAGGGGGAAGAAGAAGTAAAAAGGGGAAGGAAGGAAGGAAGGACAGAAAAAGGAGAGAAGAGCAGAGGAAAAGGAGGAGGGAGGGAGGGAGGAAAGAGGTGGGAATGAGGAGAAGGAAGGAAGAAAAGAAAGAAGGAAGAAAAGGGAAAGGGAGGGAGGAAGCTCGGCTTGTGTTTCGGAGATCTCAAGAGAGCCAACGGTTCACCCTGATTGATTGACTGATGACCTATGTCAGGGCTGACCCTGAGTGACCACATAGATAGCCCTGTCCACCTTCTCCTGGAAGGGCTGCCCTCATCCTGACCCATCAACTCTCCTAAAAACGGCCGCCATCAGCCCTTCCGCCTCCTCTTTCCTGCCACCATTCTACTGTCATGGACCCTTGCAAAGAGCTGGGCCTTCACATCCGGTGTCTGAAATAGTAGCCCTTGACTTACAACAGTTCATTTAGTGACTGTTTTAAGTGATGACGGCGCTGAACAAGAGGAGTCGTGACCATTTTTCACGCTTACGACCGTTGCCACATCCCCCACGAGTCACGTGATCAAAATTCAGACGCCTCGGCCGCTGATCCTCATATATTTATGGCCGTTGACACGTCCCCTTTTGCAAACTCCCCCCCCAATGGGGGAGCCACATTCACTTAACAACCGTGTGGCTAATTTAACAACTGTAATGATTCGCTTAACAACGGTGGCGAGAAAGGTTGTAAAATGGGGCAAAACTCAACAGTCGTCACACTGAGCAATGGACATTTTGCGTTCAATTGTGGTCGTAAGTCCAGGGGTACCTGTAATTTGAACCCAGTCAGTTGTACCTCAAGTAAAATGCTAACCATACAACAACACGACCCTCCCCATTTCACATACACACACATACACACACACACACACGTACACACACACACACCAGGGAGGTTGCTGTAGACAAATATGAAATATCGATTCTGAAACTCATCCATGCATTTAACTTTCTATCTTTCAGGCCTTCCGGCTGTGTTTGTCACAATCTGGGCAACGCTTCGAGCGACGTTAGCAGACACCGAGTAAGTCCCGAGTTTGTTCCATGTGAATTTCTTTCTTTCTTTCTTTCTTTTTTTCTTTCAAGCTTATCTGACTTTGAATCCTGTGGTAAACGTTTTATTTTTTTATTTCTGCACAAAATCAAGAAGTCAATAAAAAAAAAACACGAGACACTATAAACATGGAACAGAAATAATTTGACAAAGATAGATGGAGGTAAAAGATAGATGGGTGACTGATAGATCGATGGATGGAAGGATGGACGGACGGACAGACAGATAGACAGACACGGATGGATGGATGTGATAGAAATGATAGGTAGGTAAGATGAATGGATGGATAGATAGATGATAGATAGATAGATAAATGATTGCTAGATAAATATATAGATACAATAAAGATAGAAGATAAGAGACAGAGAGATAATAGATGCAGACAAACCGGTAATAGAGATGACTGGATGGATGGATGGATGGATGGATGGATGGATGGATGGATGGATGGAAGGATGAAGGATAGAAAATATAGGTCAGGGGTCTTCAAACTTGACTGCTTTAAGACTCATAGACTTCAGTTCCCAGAATTCCTCCTCCAGTCACGTTAGCTCAGGAATTCTGGGAGTTGAAGTCCACAAGTCTTAAACTTGCCAAGTTTGAAGACCCTTGTGATAGGTGGTTGTGACCCTTGTGATAGATGGTTAGATATTTGCCAAATTATTTTATTCATATATTATACACACACACACACACATATGCATACTCCGTGTATAGATATCTATACATCTATATGTATATATATATCAAACTAATAGACTTGCATCTCTAAAGAGTTGTAAACTTGGTTTCCCTCTGATACTGTTTTAAATATGTTTTTCTCCTTTGCCGAAATAAGCGTGAGTGTGTGTGACTGCCTGTCTGATTGGAAAAAATAATAATTGGCGCTGAAGGATATTTTTAATCCCAGAGTGCCATATGATTTGTTTTGCTAATAGCCACAATAACCACAACATTTTTATTCCTCGTGAACCCAGCTGGGCCATTTATTACCTCCTTTATATAAATTCATATATATATATATCAAATTTAGCAACCCATGCTAAAAAAAAATACAGCCAAGAGAATGTTTTAATACCAGTGGAATGAACAAAAGCTAGTGTTGTTGTTTTTTTTTCAAATCTGGCAACTTTAAGATGTGTGGACTTCAACTCCCAGAATTCCCAGCTAGACTTCAACTCCAAGAATTCCCAGCCAGACTTCAACTCCAAGAATTTTGGGAGTTGAAATCCACACATCTTAAAGTTGCCAGGTTTGTAAAACATTCTTAAAAGCCAACCTGTTTAGATCTGTACTTCCCGAAATAGACAAACCTTACTCTTTATTTATCTCCACTTCCTGGTTGTTTTTTAAGGTAGACTACTCCTTTACCTGGAGGCTCAACCTCTCACAAATTTGCTTTCCTGGCCATGTGTGGGGATGATTTCCACAAGTCTTTTGATATATGAAGGTTATAGAAGTTCTTGAAAACAGTTCCTAGAGCCGAAAGCTACCTACTTTACAACAAAATCAGATGCATGAAGCGGTTTTGTCAGGGTGTCTGTCCTCTTTTCTTGACAGATGCTGGGATTTAAGCGCCAGGTATTTCAAGTGGTTTGTCCAGGTGCCTATCCTCACGGCCGTGTTGGTGAGTTGGAGCCAAGGAGGAGTCTGGGAAGGGGAAAAGGGGAGAAATCAACAGGCAGGGTTCAAAAAAGTCAAGAATGGCGGACAGGGTTTTACAGGGAAAGCCGTGTCTAGTTTTTACAGACCTTGCCTGTCATTTAAATCAGAATTTCTCAATCTCAGAATGTTTTAAGAGGGGAGGATTCCAACTCCCAGAATCCCCCAGCCAGGATGCTTTAAGAGGGGAGGACTCCAACTCCCAGAATCCCCCACCCAGGATGCTTTAAGAGGGGAGGACTCCAACTCCCAGAATCCCCC